GGAGTCTATCATAAACGCGCGCATCCTCACCCATCTGGACAGGGAGGACCTGCTGGACCCCCAGCAAATGGGCTTCAGAAGAGGGTGCTCCACCACCCACCAAGTGACCCGTTTCGCGGACTACATCACGGACGGGTTCAACAGGGGGATGCACACCGCGGCCGTGTTCCTGGACGCCTCCGCCGCCTTCGACACGGTATGGACCGAGGGCCTCCTCTACAAGATGGCGGTCATGGGATTCCCCGTCCGTCTCATCCGCCTACTGCAGGCCTACCTGACCGAGCGCAGCTTCCACGTCACGCTGGAGGACGCCGTGTCTCCTGTCCGCCCGGTCGCCAAAGGGACACCCCAAGGAAGCATACTGGGCCCGGTGCTGTACATAATCTATGTCAACGATATACCAAGATCCGGGGTCCGGCTCGCCCAGTACGCGGACGACACGGCTGCCTTCTTCCAACATCGGGACGTGGAACTGCTGGTCGGGCGCCTGCAAAGTGCCCTCGATGACCTGCTCCAGTACTTCCAGCGGTGGCGCCTCAAAATTAACGCGCAGAAGACTGAAGCGGTCCTATTCACCAAGCGACGCGCGGAAAATGCGGACGCCCACCCCCTCCGCGTCGACGCCCACCCCATACCGTGGCAGGCCAGTGCGCGGTTCCTGGGGGTCATCCTGGACCGCCGAATGACCTTTGGCGCCCATGTACGGACAATCCAAAGAAAAGCCGCCGGTGCCATGTCAATAATCTACCCCCTCATCCGACGTAACAGCCCCATCTCCCCAGACATCAAGGTCAGAATAGCCCTAGCCTATGTGCGCTCCATACTGGCTTATGCCGCCCCCGCCTGGGCCGGCATCGCAGCCGACTCTCATCTGCAGAAGCTCCAGATCATACAGAACAGATTCCTCCGGACGGCCCTCCAACTCACACGCCTAACCAATATGAGACGGGCCCACACCACGTACCAAATACCACTACTAGGGGACTTCATCATGAAACTGACCACCAACTTCTTCGACAAGAACCGAAACAACAACAACATACACATACGTGCCCTGGGAAATCACGCCTGACACAGCCACCTACCGCTTTAAACATCGCACACCAAAACACCGACTGTTCCAACTCGACATATAAAACTACACATGTGGCGCACCACCCGAATTAATGTCATTGTGTATATATTGTATCATACTTTTTGTTCTATTTATTTATTGTGAGTGTTTTAATCCATATAACGTACCTGCGTAGGGTTTTTGTATAATAATATTTTTTCCCCTACAGGCTCCTAAGTTAATTAATATTCACAGACACTGTCCTCACCTAATTATGCTGTAAATAACTAATGTAAAATGTTTCCATAGCTGTTAAGACTCCGCAAGAGTGGACGCCGATAAAATTTAAATTGTTCCAACGTCAAAGAATGTACACTTACACCTGTAATCTACCTAAGTACAATTAATAAAAGCGCGCTTCGCGCGCCTTGAATCTGAATTGATACATATTCTACATTGGCGGAAGTAATGAATTCGTCTACAGACGGTTCAGTTTAAACTGACTCGGGCACTGTCTGCTGTAGCTACAATCGTGTCGCTACAAACAGGGACGTACTTGCCTCGGCGTTCCCCAAGCGGCAGTACGCACGGGTCGGGGCCACGTCCCTGTTTGTGACGACACAGCTACAAGCTACAACCAACACGGCCACTAGCAGCTTTTATCTTAGCCATAGAGGCGAAATTGAGGCTCCAGTTCGTCACCCGCGCGTTTTAGGTGTTCATAGTTCATTGCGAACGCACTTAGTGTCGAAAAATCGGGCTGGAGCAAACTCAAACAAGCGTAAGCGGTGGCTGGTGCGGGCGGACCCCCCTCCTCCCCGACCCTACTCGCCGACCCTCCTCGCCGACTCTACTCGGCTACCCCCCTTTTCGCCGGAACCTATTCGGCGACCCTACTCCTACTAGTCGCTAACTACATATCCTCCTGCACGCCAGTGTGTAGGCAACCCATCGAGCTTCCGCGTATTCTCCCGGACACCCGGTACAGGCAAAGAGAAACGTAATGCCCTGTGTTCCCTGCTCCTGTGTCCTCGCACTAGCTCGCGGGATGTTCATTGTGGGGGCAGCTTCAGGTTTCTGACAACGAGATGCGTGTGACTTATGTCACACATTATGTCAAAATCACGACAGTTTGCAACATGTTTAGAAAAGCAACAATATTTTTTTAAGAACTTTCTACAGCAGGAAAAATAATTACCTACTCGCTGTTGTTTCTTTAGGTATTTATTTATTTATCTAGTCTTTATAATTAGTAAACCAAGAGCCAGACTACGGAACAACAATATTAAGAGAGCAAGGTGGCCAATATCACTCCACACAGTTCCCTGTAAATGCAGAAGAAATATTATAACAAAGTTTTATCAGATAAATACGTGCCTCAGACTAAATCATTTTGAGTCACACCTCTTTAAAGCTGTAAACTTGAAGAGCGTAATGCCCAGTCCTCACACATGAGTTGTTATTCAGTGCGCCTGCACAAGATATTTCGGGGACGTCCTGCCACTGGTTGACTAGAAGAGCTTCGTTTCCGTACCGAAACCAGGAAATGTGTTGTATCCACGAGAAATACGACGGCATGGTACTGGAAAAACGGGTACAAATAAATTACCAGGTTGCAAAACGTTTTAGTCGAAGCCCATGTAACCCGTGTTCGTGGTTAAAAAACAGTTGTAACCACAACCCCAACGACCATCGAACGGGCCAAGTTAAAATTGGTCACAGTAGTGACAGGTTAAATTAGAAAAGAGAAAAAGGCTTGCTTTGGCCTCCTTGCTATTTATCAACTCTCACATACTGTAACTTACTCTAAGTTCACAAAGAAACCACCGTATAAAAGAAGAGGTATTACAGCTGGTGCCCCTGTGGACAGAGCAGTTGACATATTGTTGGCAGCACATGAAATGAAATAGCCTGAAAAAAAGAAGAAATGCAATGTTGTGATTAGTGGCGCTACTTTGCTCAAGGCTGATCCCCCCTCCTCCTCCCATCCCCCGACGCCATACCGAATGAGGTGGCGACCAGGCCGATGAGGTTGACGATGGCCACGCACGTGAAGAAACGCACCGGGTCCGCGTTGAAGCCCACGGCGAAGTACACGATGCAGGTGTAGAGGACGGGGAGTGCCATGAAGATGGGTAGCTCGGCGGTAGAGCGGGCCAGGAAGTAGGCGTCCACGCGGTACATGGCGGCCATGTGCTCCCGCTTAAAGACGGCTCTCTCTGTGCAGAACACCTGCAACCGCGAGCAGCACGTCAACGTCACGGCCTCCACCAGGTCAGCGCCATCCGCACACCGCAGCCGCGCAGCCGCGCCCTGCGCGGGGCCGCTCGACTTGCCTTGATGACGGCCAGGACGTTCTGAAACGTCATGTTGGTGATGGTGGTGAAGAGGGCGGCGTTGATGTTGACGAGACCCGTCTGGTCCAGCGACTGGCCGAAGTACAGGAAGGACACGAGCAGGGCGATGACGGCCGTCTGCAGCACGCGCACGCGCACGAGCAGCGGGTCCTTGCGCACGCTCAGCCACGAGCGCCACAGCAGCGCGGCGAACTGCGTCGCCCAGGACGCCTTGTAGCGCGACGAGGACCTGGGGTCGCGCAGCAGCCACGTGCTGCCCGCGCGCCCACCCTCCAGCGGGGGGAGGCCCTTCACCTGCGCGCAGGAGAATCGTTTCACAAAAACGCGATCTAGGCTCTAGGGATCATCCGGAAAGTACGCCTGTTTTCCTCAGATTCGTCGGGGAAAGTTACGGTAGCTCGGCGCCTGCCAGACTCCGGGTAGGCCACTCCGCAGTACTCGCATGCACTGAAGGCATGGCGTTGCCTACCTATCAGGCGCCATGACAGCTTGCATAGGCTAAAGTTAACAGGTTTGTGACTTGCGGAAAGACGGACGTACTTTCTGAATGATCCTAAGTCATGTGTGTAATGTACAAGAGCACGACGCTCACCGGGTAGTCTGTGACGGCGGCGCTGCGGGCCGCGTGCTCGGAGCGCTCATACGCATCGCACACCCGGTTGATCCGGTCCCGAGAGGTCACCTCTTCGTTCGGCACCACGGCGAGCAGCTGCACGAAGAAGTCGGCCGGGTTGTACTTTGGGGGAATGGGCGCGCCGATCCTGTAGGCGTTTTATATAGAAGTGGTTTAATTCAAACAGCATTGCGGGTTGTCGATCTTCTGTTTTAAGAAAGTGAGGGCGCTTACCTGCCGAAGAAGTCCTGCGCCTCCTGCGGCGAGCCCAGGAAGGCGACCCGACCCTCCGCCATCAGGAGGATCTTGTCGAACTGAGCGAACACCTCCGAGGAGGGCTGGTGGATGGTGAGGACGACAGTCTTCCCTCGGCGCGCCAGGCGGGTGAGCACCTCCACGGTGGTCTGGGCCATGTACGCGTCGAGGCCAGAGGTGGGTTCGTCGCACAGCAAGAGGGTGGGGTCCGTCAGCACCTGGAGGCGCAGAGTGACGACACGAGGGCTCAACTCATGTACGCAAAAGCAAAAAGCAGAAGACGATCGCCCGTGGGGCGTCGACAGCTCACCTCTGATGCGAACGACAGTCTTTTCATCTCTCCACCAGAAATACCCTTAACCCTACCGGGTACACCAATAATGCTGTCTTCGCATTTTGTCAGTCCAAGCTGATTAAAACAAACATCAACACAGCATTAGTTTCAAAACAAGGTCCCCCCTTGCCCCCCAAAAGAAGAAAGTCGCGACTTGTACGCAACAAGAACTGTACCTCTTCCATCACCTCTCTCACTCTGAGCAGTCTCTGCCGACGGGGTATTCTTCGTTCCATTCGCAGTAGCGCCTGTGTGAAAGGAGAAAAAAAAAAGGTTCGGGTTACGCACGGCCGTCTTCATTCGTCGTATCAGTGTCAGCGCGGGATCAGGCGGCAAACACCTGATCCGGAAGGCGTAACGGAGTCCGAGACGGAGTCGTACCTGGAACACGAGGTGCTCCCTGACGGTGAGCCAGCCCACGAACAGGTCGTGCTGCTGCACGTAGGCCGCCACGTTGGCCAGGTCGCGGCTGCTGGTGACCACGGTGCCGGACAGAGCGCGCGCCCCGGTCACCGTCAGCTGCCGGTCCGAGCGGAACGTGAGCGCGTCCAGCAGGGTCGTCTTGCCGGCGCCGCTCGCTCCCATGATAGCCAGGACCTCGCCAGGCAGCGCCGCCCCAGACACTGCAACATGATTGGAAGTGTTATAAGGAACTTATGTGAACTTCACTAAAATAAAATCAGTGTACAGTGTACTCTGTACACCTTACAAGAAAACAAAAAGATAAATAACAGAAACATCAAGAAAATGTCAATAGAAAATCAGAAAAAAAGGGACAGTATAAACAGAAAAAATATAAAAAAAAAAAACAATCAAGGTAAAACTGAAAAATTTGTGTACGTTTGCATTTATAGTGAAGTACCCCTCGAGGAAGAGCCGCGGGGCGGTGCTATTCCTTACCGTTTTTGAGCAGGTGCTTGCGGGGGGCAGCGGGCCTCCGGCGCAGCCAGTGGCTGAAGGGGGTCCTGGAGGGGCGCACCCCGGGGGCGAACGCGTCCAGGGAGGTCCAAGTGTACGTCAGCGGCGCGGAGGGTGCCTGCTGGATGGTCCAGCCGTCACCGCCTCCGTCGCCCCCGCCGTCACCCCCGCCCCCGCCGCCGCCACAACCCTCGCCTCCAACGCCGTTATCGTCCGCGCCGTAGCTGCTCTTGTCGCCGTTCCCGTTGCCGACGCTGCCGTAGCCCTTGCCTCCGATGTTGGTCGTGGAGTCAGACGACCACCAGAGTCCGCCATTCCGTCGGCTTCGCTCCTGCGCGCAACAAGAGGTGCATTGAAAAGGATGACGGGATCGAGGCTGCCCTAAGGTCACCGATGAGATGAGATCACCCAGAAAGTATGTCCGCCACTGGCCGATACTTCAGCCAATGCAAGTGCAAGCCCTCATAGCGCCTGATAGGTAGGCCACATCTTGCATACAGTGCACGCGTGTACTGCGGGGTGGCCTACCCCGAGTTTCGCAGGCGCCGAGCTCACGTTATTTGCCAAATTAATCTGAGGAAAAAACGAGCGTAAGTTCTGGACGAAACCTAACGTGACAGGGGAACACAGCGCAGTGCACGTGGCGCACCCATCCAGAAAACGATCTTTGGTTTCACGAATATTCCCATCAAAACGTTTCTTTTTCTTCCCATGTTAATTATAAACATGATTCAATTCAGTTGATACGTAAAATTTGTTTGCGTAGATTCTGTCGACGAAGCTCAGGGCGTTTCTTGGCTTGGCCAACTCAACTATCTACTCCAACTAGGTCTGCTTCTGCTGGAACTGAGGGCTCATTCCGGCTCATGCGATGCCGCAGGCCGGGCTCATCCCCAGCCAGGAATGATTTCATTTTGGGGGAAGACATGTCGCACTTTTCGTTTCTACTTTGACGCGGTTGGCACGGGAAATCGGAAAATTATTGAGTGACCATCAGGTGACTGGCTTAAAAGAGAGGGGGGGGGGGGCTTGGCTCGCGCCGCAGCGGCTGCCGGGCTGCATGAAGCGCGCGGCTGTCCGGGTCAGCTCGCGATGCCGCGGGCCTGCAGCTGCGTTTGGCGATGGTGTAGTAGGGCCTCACTTACGTGTGCGAGCTCGCTCGCACAAGGTCTGCGGAGACGCGGATGGATTGAGGATGCTATGGTATGCCAATGCGTGTCGCGAGGAGGGCCCTAGCTCTCGCACGTGCATAAAAAGGCGACTCATAAAACAATGTCGATCGACACGGGAATCCAGACGCGTGTACCATGTGCAACTATATCCGGCCCGCCCTATCCGTTGCTGCTTATGTTTCCTCGACGGAAAGCCTGGACGAGGAAAAGGCGTGGGGCGCCACAAACGCACATTGAGCCTTACGGAAAAACGTCTCGCTAATTTTACTCTGGAATATTCTTTTTGGGGCCTCCTGGATGTGTCATGCTGCTCCTCTCCGCACTCGCACGCACGCACGGCCGAAAGCCGTCTCATTTAGACGGACCTTAACCGGATTCGGACCTTGGCCGGTCGCCGCCCCTGCCTGCTGTACCCGGACCAGCCGCGGCGAGCACAAAACGAGAACGTGACGTTATTCATTTGCCTGTACTTCGGCTCTGTTGCTGAGGTTGCCGATCGTCGCCAGCCGTACACTGGAGAAAAGTTGTTGATATTTATTTTAAAAAAAGGATTGGGTTAAGTACAATAAGAATGTCCCTGACGGAAAGCAGATCGAACTTTGTGTCGCTGAATAATAATGAAAATGAACGCTTTTGTGAATCACTATGCATTTCGTAGCACAGCCCCGCATCTGCAATAACTTTAGTTTTTCTCCTAAACTGTGATCTACATTGGCTATGAAGAGTGGGAAGGGTCTTTAGAGTCGGGGCCGGGGCGGTGGTGGTTATTCGCGACAAAGCAGACAAAGGCTCGATGCCTCCGCACTGCTCCGCAGGGCTTTGGCGATGATGGGGCAGGGCCCGCTCATTACGTAAAGGCTTTGGCAGCGCTTGGGCTGCCGCCGAGGCTCGAGCCGCGGCTGCCGCTACCTTCGGTGGCTTCACGCGCCCCGCTCCAGGACAAGGGGGGACAGCAGGGACGACCACCGCAAGGCCGGCCCGCCTTGTGTAACAGAGGCCCTCTATAGGATAGTGTTCCCCGCAGGGCAGAAACGGGACATATCTCCCACACACAAGAGAGAATCGCAGGGCGATACTATTTTCAACCACAAACCGCACCAGGAATTGGTGCCATTGGGTCGTTCCAGTCACAACCTATCTATGTTCAGTTCATCCAACAGCAAACTCACATACTGACATCGGG